AGAGCAAATTGGCTGAGTGTCCGTGCCCATACGATCAGCGTGGACTCAGCCTTTCAGACTGAACAAGGGAACAGTCGTCATAGGAAACGCTTAGAACTTCTTGTTTAGGTTACAAGGGACAGCCTAGGAATTACATGGCAGATGGGAGGGAATCTTCGAGGAGTTTCACTTTCTACAGAGTTGCTAAAAGACTCCTCAGATCAAAGCTGATCGCATGTCGCAATCAGGCATCGTCACTCCTAGACTGTCTCTTGTAACCTAAACAAGAAGTTCTGAAGCATTTCCTATAGCGACTGTTCCCTTGTTCAGTCTGAAAGGCTGAGTCCACGCTGATCGTATGGGCACGGACACTCAGCTAATTTGCTTTCCTTATTGGTGTGCACTCCTTCCAGCGAGGTGGAAAGGAAGAATGCTTCTATGAGAAGGACGCTGATTGTCCCCGCCCATGCGATGAGCATGTCCTATGCTTTGATACATAACTCGAGCTTATTTTTCTCTTTTGCTCACATTTCGTGCAAGGCTATGTTCAGACTTTGCTGCTTGAGCACGCGACTGCGTTTGACCGCGCTCCACCGATTTCTCGGACAACTGCCGTCTTTTTCCGATAAATTACGCCGGGTTGAAAGAGACATTCCGCGGGAATTGGATGGGCGGAGACAGCCAATTATATGTGGTTCTTTTTTCACTTGCCAAAAATGACGAAGAGAACGAGGTCGAAAGTAATTTTTTTGCAGGTTCTGTTCTTGTATTTGCAGTTGCAGCGGTCCATCGATTAGCAGCAGAGCGCGGCCCGTCATACTCCAGTAGTTCTCGAATTGCACGTCTGAATCGCTCATTCGCGAATTGTGAACACAGCTAGCTGTTCATAGAAATTGGATCCTCCTTTCCCGATACATTGCGATGAGTTGAAAGAGACACTCCACGGAAGTTGGATGGGCGGAAACAGCCAATTATATGTAGTGCCTTTTTTATTGGCGCAAAAAGATGAAAAGAACAAGCGCTCCAACCATCGCGGAACATGCCTTTGAGTCCCGACCTTTGATTTTCACAAAAGACAGTGTAGCACTTTGTACCGTTCAAAAAAGGGTCACTTGTTTCAATGTATGCGTGTTAAAACGCAATCTGTCTGAAAAGAAATTTGGCTAGGCCCTCTTCAAATCAAGCGGTATTTCCCTCAGCAGTGGTAATTTTTTTTCTTTCCACGAAGACTGAAATTGTGCAAGCAAATC